TCTTTTGTTTGTTATGATTCCAGTATTGGTGTCTAAAATTTCAGTGGCATGTAATAATTTGCCTTACTGAATTCATTATAGAAATTCACTAAAATACCGAATCAAGTAGGTTAAGTATTTACTCTTCATTACAGAGCTCTAGCTTCAACTTTACTAAGTATTCAAGATTTTTCATGTTGGGACAAGCACTACCATTCTAGATAGTAAAACTAGGGAAAAAACAATAACGGTTCTGCAGTTAGCTGCATGCACTTGGCTATCCTTCAGGGAAGTGTTAGTGGTCTTTATTTACCTCTCCTAGAGGTGCTAGAAGAGCTAAATCCCTTCAAAACCTAACAGATCAAATAAGGTGAATAATAGATAGATAATGGGTTCTGGAAGTGAGGAATCATTGTTTATGTTTACTCCCTAAATTACAGATATGTCTATTTTATCTTCAAGGAAGAACTTATGTAATTTCCCATCCAATATAAGCTCTTCCGAGCCAAGGCTTAGGGAGCCCTGGTGATGTAGTTCTGAGCGCAACCTTTGCAACTCGATAGGGTAGTTCTACTCCTTCCTATTGGGTTGCTTTGAGTTGAAGGTCACAGGTTTAAATCAAGCCATAGGTAAATTCTGTTTCATTCCAACCTGCCCCCTTCCTTTATTGCTAAATTGAGCTTGAAGTTTTTGTTCTGTGCTGTATGTCTTCACATGTCCATAAAACAAAATGATAAAAGAATATGTCATCAATAATTGACCCTATTTGTTAGATACTCTCATTTTCATTTTATGGATGAAAAATTAATGCTTAGAGAGATTAAATAACTGTCTAATGTCATGCAGTTAGTAAGCAGGAGAACCAGGATGCAGGCGGAGGTCTGAGATATGAAAATAAATCTTGATTTGTATATTCAACTATGATGTAGCCTATGTGAGGTTAACTATGAAGCAGACTGGTGCCCGTGGGACATTTTCCCAGCAGCACTTTCTGTACTGAGAATGAATTCTGAAGAAAGGACTGCTTTCTTTCTCTTCTTTTTATTAAATTATGCTTTAGCCACATGTAGGAAAGAGTGCGAGCATTTTAGTGTTAGTAAAAATGTAGTGAAACTAAGGAAACCTTTATCAATGCAATTATTCCTTAGGTTTAATAAGAAGACACAGCCTACAACTGATACATGAAATCCTATATAAAATAATGTGCCTTGTTACTGTCATTAATGCCTTGGTGGATTCTGTTCATTAATTTTTGTTCTAAAATTATTTGCAAGGAATAGCAAGACTAAGTTAACCTAGGGTGGAAGAAGTGCCGTACGAGCAGAACAACGTTCCGTATATGTCGCGCTCATATTCTTGGAGCAATCAAACGCATGCGGCATGTCTGTGCACTAAATGCATAACGGGTCTTTACTTCCAGATACGCCTCGTTTTTCTTTAGACGCAAGGAGATCTTTGTCATTCAGTAAGTTCTGTGGGGGTGCAGAGTTCTGCTGTGATTACTTGAATCTTGTCGGGTGCTGTGCTACATATTTAAAATACATGTGTCTTGAACATTTTCATGTTTAATATGCTATTTTTTCTAAAGCCAAGAGAAAAGTTTTGTTTTCTACTTACAATGGGTCCTCTACAATACTGCATGCCATTGAGATGGTATGGATAATCTTACTAAAATGCATATTATCTCATTAGGTGCATGCCCTGAAAATTTGCTGTGTTTTCATGTTGTGTAGGCTTTGATAGAAAAATCTGTTTTCATCCCGATTTCCTCAAGTACTGGCTGCTCTACTTTTAACATAATGCATGAGCCAGGTTCTCCTCCCCACAGGTTAGTCTGGGTTCCGCTTCACGCTGACTCAGTCCGGCAGAGTTAGGAGTAAATGTGCGAGGGCAGAAGTGACGCCGTTCCTCTCTTCCTCTTTCCGGTGTGTACACAGACGGATATGCCTGTGGAGCTTCGACTTTCCTCTGCAATTATTACTTAGGTTTAATAGGAAGACACAGCCTTGAGCTGGGTGGCCTACTGTGCATGTATCCTGGCTCAAAAATTGCTTTATACCTTCTGAGACTAACAAATTGGAATGCCAGCCTTCCCAAGGACCCCAGCAATTGACTGCGTGCCCATAAGATAATTTATTCAAGCAAACCGTATGAGTAGAGGCAGGTCATGAAAATACATTTGATTGCAAAATCCCAAATGTGTAAGAGGAGTCCGTCTCCATTAACACAGGCCTGGATGGGGCCAAGACTCCTCACATTATGGTTGCTACACAAAGCTGCAGTATGGTTACAACAGAGGAAGCCAGGCCTATTTATAACAAAACACAGCATTTTAAAATCATAGGGA